ATTTCCTGAAGCACGCGGCTAACTGCGGCCTTCAACACGAAATGGCCGAAGGCCCCCTCCGCGCATTCGCGGAACAATGGCTCGCCGATTACAAGGGCCCTACGGTGGCGTGAGAAAGCGCAGGTGACCGTGTCCATCGGCAGGCATCTGAAGTCGCAGTGAGTCCATAGACGTTGCGACAGCTAATCTAAATAATTAACCCTTTTTCCTGGAGGGGGGAGGATGTAAGGGTAGAATAGACTTACCCTTAAGTAATTAGTCAGCCGCTCAAAGCGGCTTGATGCAATCACTTACCACCGCGTCCTATTGGACGCGGGCAACACTTATGACAAAGCGGGCGCCCAGTACCATATGGCGCCCCTTTAACTATAATCCGGACCGCTAAGATATAAGCGCCGTACAGACAATCATGTATGTCGTCTTTTAGCTCAATAACACTCGGTTCTGTTCTGTTTCGGTCTAGTCGCGTCGTAGCATAGCTTTACATAAGCTATATACTTTACAGCGTTGAACCCCTCGCACGTGGCTGTGCGTGACAAAAGACGTAATACGCACAGAATGTTGATTTTCCCCGGGGGAGAGGGTGCTTTGTCTGAACTCCTGCTGATATCTTATAGATGTGCATTATACCGAAGCACTCCAGGGAGTGGAAACCAGTTTGCGATGGATCCTAATGAGAAGAGGGAGAGACATGCGGTGTGAAGCATGGCTGTGACATGGTGTGACACCGTACTGAATCTCACTGACGCGCGCTGCAGGTCGCTCGCTGAAGGCAGGAAATTCTTGAACAACGCGAATGACGTGGTAATGGAGATATACAGTAGTGCGAAGACTATGCTAGCAGATTAAAGGTTAGTGATCATGGTAGATTAGCTGCGTCAAGATCTTTCATCAGAGACTCTGGGAGTACACGATGACCATGATATTTCTTGCCCGCCCATGCAGCCTGGTAGTGTCCTGTAAATCTGTGAATGCGCTGAGATTGACAGCTAATCTACCCAAGCAACATTCGCGCTGAGATTTACGGGGTGTAATTCACCTCACATTTACGCTCCATTCATAGTGTAGATCTACCGTCATTCTGCGATGAAATTTACATGTCATTTACCTCACTGCCGCTTCCACTGGAATTTCACCGGTGATACGGGTTCAGCGGGAGCCGACAGCACGCTATGATCTTTATCTTTGCCTTTCTGTCCGCTTTTCCGGGCTCCTGGAGCCTTCGTTTGCCCGACAGACTCCCCCGTGCCATCATCAAGCAACTCGTGCAAGAATGGTGATCCCAGGTTAATGCCGTCGCCGACGACGAAGCGGTCCGTGGGATATTTACTCCGGACACGACGTCGCCTATGGCGTGCAGATTCTGCGATGAGCTCGGAGTCTGAGTCACGCATCGCTGTGTCACCGTCGAGTTCGTCGTCAGCGCTTTGTCCGTCGTCGCTCCCTTCGTCCTCAGGTGCTGGATCAAGCTCACGTCGCACATGTTCATGCTCTGAGTCTGACGGCTTGTCGGAGCGTAGCTCGAACACTCGAGATTTCTCCATAATGGTCGCCTTCATGTCTCGCCACTTCACTGTCAGTCCAAGACTGGGGCTGGGCTCCTGTTGCTCCAACAATCAGCATCGCACGAGTGTGTCGAAAGGAAAAAGACGGCGATACCGAAGTTTTGTACTTATGCCATTGGCGGATCTGTATCTGATCTTTTAAAGATGTCAAATCTGCACGGTTGCGACGTGCAGTGTGCAGATAATCGACCTGGGACATTGTCCGCTCATCAGCCATTGAGTTCGGCACCACAGAGAACAATTTTGTTGCCAACACCTATCGTGATCTGTCAGCCAGTAATGCCGCAAGATAAAGGTAGGACATACTCCCAGGACTTTTGCGGACTCATCTTTACGAACAGCTTTCCACCACCGAAGTGGAGTGTCAGTGGACTTGAACTGTCGATCAAAAGGGTCCCTTTTCTTCGCATACAACACCAGCTCAGCGTGCAACGCAGCAACGGCATCTCTGGCAGAAAGGTGAGCCAACTCCGGGTTACGAATTTTCATCAGCTCCTTCATCTCTTCTGCGTTGGTTAATGATGCCGCCGGGCCATACTCATGTTGAAGCATCCGCATCAGAGCATTGCCAACTCGGTCTAGCATCTTGTCTTGCGGGTCCACCACTTCATGAAGACCCTGGGCATCCCTGGTTATCGACACCCGAGGTACGGACATCGGGTTGATATTTTCAAAAATTGCTGCCCCACGATATCCTGACATCCGTTTTTGTTCAGCCCTGGGGGCCAAATGTGTACAGGGAGCTGGTGATTTTCAAGTTGACATGTGCCCAAAGTCATGACATGGGCACAGGTCATGGGGCTGTACAGGGTAGTGACCTGTACACGGCACATCATAACAGTCAACAGTGCCCTGTACATGGCCCATAGTGCCCTGTACATGGCCCATAGTGCCCTGTACACGGCACATCATAACAGTCAACAGTGCCCTGTACATGGCCCATAGTGCCCTGTACACGGCACATCATAACAGTCAACAGTGCCCTGTACAGAGCACATGGCCACAGGCTACCTCCGCCTGACACGGCACATAACTGAGCCTGTACATGTAGCGCCGGCACAGGGGTAATTCAAACAGTCACGTGTATGTACATAGCATGCGCACATTGAGAGTACATATACAAGATACAGCTATAAAACGTAACCACCTGTTGCGACGAGGCGAGACACGGCGTCGCTGTCGTCGACGTCGTTCCCGGAGGCCGCGGGCGTGTTGAGCTGTGATGAGGCGAACGAAAAGGTGTTGTAGTCGTCGATGTCGATCCTGGAGGCCGCGGGCACATTGAGCTGCGACGAGGCGAACGAAAAGGCGTTGTAGTCGTCCACGTCGATCCGGGAGGCCGCGGGCACGTTGAGCTGCGACGAGGCGAGAGACACGGCGTCGCTGTCGTCGACGTCGTTCCCGGAGGCCGCAGGCGCGTTGAGCTGCGACGAGGCGAGAGACACGGCGTCGCTGTCGTCGACGTCGTTCCCGGAGGCCGCGGGCGCATTGAGTTGCGACGAGGCAAGACACGGCGTCGCTGTCGTCGACGTCGTTCCCGGAGGCCGCGGGCGCGTTGAGCTGCGACGAGGCGAGACATGGCGTCACTGTTGTCAATGTCGTCCCCAGAGGCCGCGGGCGTGTTGAGCTGTGATGAGGCGAGAGACATGGCTTCGCTGTCGTCAACGTCGATCCCAGAGGCCGTGGGCACATTGAGATGTGATGAGGCGAGCGAAAAGGGCTTGTAGTCGTCGACGTCGATCCTGGAGGCCGCGGGCGCGTTGAGCTGGGACGAGGCGAGAGACAAGGTGTCGCTGTCGTCGACGTCGATCCCGGAGGCCGCGGGCGGGTTGAGCTGGGACGAGGCGAGAGACATGGCTTCGCTGTCGTCAACGTCGATCCCAGAGGCCGTGGGCACATTGAGTTGCGACGAACTTGATGTAGCGAGTCGAGCCGTAAAGCGTCATTGCCTGTGCGCTCGCGTTCGGAAGCTAGAGTTGGAAGAGAGTGAGTAGGAGCGGAGAGGCGTGGTCCGCGTAACTCACCTATGTGCGATGAACCCCAGCATACCCATTATTGGGGCTGCGATGAGCGCGTCGACAGATCTTCGGGAGCCACGGCAAGCGCGGAGCACGGTGTTCGGGGCCATAATCTGGATGCGCCACATGGTGGTCTCCAGGCCAATTCATCCTCTCGAGCGCCTTGTGCCTGCTCATCTTCGCGTGAAGCCTGACTGAGGGCTTGGTCCGCTCTTGCCGCTATTTCCTCCGGGATCATGTCGCCCTCGCCCACAGCCATACCTAGAATAGTTAATAAGAGCTCGACTTAAGAAACCAGCTTACCCTGGCTTCATCATCAGAAAACAGGAGGACTTTCGCAGCTTGGGGAGCAACAGTTCAGAGGCTATGAAGCATTGTGTTAGTACTGAGAAGTCTGGAGGAGTGGCATCACTCACCACAGATGACATTACCCTGGTTGGGAGTGATCTACGATACAACTCATGTGTAATATGCGAACTTCTTCAAATTCATGGGACATAAAGATGGATGATCGGAATGTGCAATAAGCAATAGAAAAGAAGGCAAATATTAGATGATCATAAGCATAGTGCAGAGTTTTAAGTCGATGATGGCGATAACCACATTAGGTGTGGCGACGGCGATACGAAAGCGCGGCAGCGGCGACGGCGGCAGTGGGCGGCGGCAGCGGCTGGGCAATATGTGCGAGTGGTGGCGGCGGCTGGGATGATATGTGCAAGCGACAACTACAGCGGCGGCGGCTGGGACGATATATGCAAGCGGCGGCTACGGCGGCGGCACTATGTTCGTATGGCGGTGGCGGCTGGGATGATATGTGCAAGCGGCGACTACGGCGGCAGCACTACGTTTGAATGGCGGCGACGGCTGGGACGATACGTGCAAGCGGCGACTATGGCAGCGGCCCTATGTTCGAATGGTGGCGAAGGCGGCTGGGACGATATGTGCACGCAACGGCGGTGGCGGCGGTTGTGACGATATGTGCATGCGGCGGCGGCGGCGGCTGGGATGGTATGTGCAAGCGGTGACTACGGCGGCGGCCCTATGTTCGAATGGTGGCGAAGGCGGCTGGGACGATATGTGCAAGCAACGGCGGTGGCGGCGGTTGTGACGATATGTGCATGCGGCGGCGGCGGCAGCTGGGACGGTATGTGCAAGCAGCAGCAGCAGCGGCGGCGACGAGATTTTGACACAGGATGGGCGTCGGTCGGATATTATGGCCCGGGAGCATATATACGCAGGTCTTGACGCGGACACTCAACGTTTCCTATGTACCTGAGGATCAGTCGCTGAAGATCAGCAGTCCGCGGACGTTCACGCACCGCGACGACCGTGCTCTAGCCCCTCCTTTGGTCTTCGCAAACGACGGCTTTGTGTTGCCTTTCTTGACGCTGCTGTAGGACGATGAGCAACGTAGTCAAGAATGAAATAGATACACTTACCGAGACGACATACTACGAGACGCGATCTTCCGCTTCTTCGTAATTCTTATATCCTCGTCATCCTCATCGACGTCCTCATCCTCATCCTCACTAAGGTCCACGGTATCGTCAAACGCTGGATCGTCCAACTTGGCCCTGAGTGCTCTATCCTGGAGAACCACCGTCATGGCCTTCAAGACCCATTCCATATCTGCTGCAAGGTCTTCCAGCAACTTGAGAGACGCCTTATCCTCGGCCCAGGTAAATCCCCAACTAAGCGCCTGGATTAGCAAGAAAAAGCCGCTCTTGGCGTTGCAGCAAAGGCGGCCCCAGTAGAACTTGCTGGTGTCACGGGAAAATGGAAGAGATGTGGCCTTCCTCCTCCAACCGGGCTGCAGCTTGCGATACCATGTGTACAGGTCGTTAGTGTAAGCAGGGACATCATCAATCTTGGGATGACGGCCATCGGGGCGGCCACGCCGGATCCACGCTCCTATTTCCTCCGGCCGCTCTGCGACGGTAGGGAACCTGCGCTGAAGGCAGAAGGTTCAGGTGAGCTTCGGACAGATGCTTGATTAACAGATGAACGTACGTTATCTTCCTCCCCGTCGAACCCTTCGGCAAGCTCAAAAGCCTCAAACGCAGGCACGAGAGTCTTGTAGCATGTCGTGCCAGGCCATGACTTCTCCAGTCGAAGCCGTGCGACCACCGCCTTCAGCCAGTTTGGTGCATCCGAAGTATCAAGGTTCTGCGCTTTGCTGACCAGATACTGCATCTGGCCCGGGGGAAACTCCGGGAACAAGTCTTCGTCTGGTGTAGCGGCACGGTGTTGCTCTCGCGATGGAAGCGACGTCGTCGAATTTGAGGCACGCGGCGTAGGCAGAGACAATCCAGGCCCTTCGTTTGCGTCCTCGTCCTCCGAATCCTCATCGGCGTCAGCGGACGAACCGCGATCGCGGGCCGCCGGCTTTTGAGCACACCTCAACAGAACTGCTGGTGCAGTGGCTGGGGGTGGACGTGCTAGTGGAGACGCCGGATCCTCCGGGGAATGACCGCCATTCGGGAATAGTTGAGGAATAGGCGCGACGTCAAAACGATGCCCAGCGACCGTGGTATCCCCCTCTTCCTCGTCCGATAGAGCGACGCGACGAGCCTTCTTTTTCAACGGTCGAGGTCTGGGCTTTGGGGGCATCGCAGACACGTGAGCGCGGGGAGTTGTCGGATCAGCCGTCGTGGACTTGTTAGACGGTGGTGTCATGGATGTGGCCGACGGTGCTGCCGTGGAAGCGGATGGTGTCTCGGTGGATGTGGCAGACGACGAGAGCGACGACGAGAGCGATGACTCCGTCGTGGTCGTTGCAGACGACGAGAGCAATGACTCCGTTGTGGACGTGGCAGACGATGAGTCCACCGAGGACATGGCAGACGACGAGTCCGCCGAGGACGTGGCGGACGACGAGTCCGCCGAGGACGTGGCAGACGACGAGTCCTCCGAGGACGTGGCAGACGAGGAATCCGACGAGGAGAACGTAAACGCGTCAGACGTGGACGTGGTTGCGGAAGCAGACGTTGATGTCGATGTCGACCTTTGAGGAGGCCGAGCGCCGCCCTCGTTCGATGAAGTAGGCGTTAACTTGCTCAAGTCCCCAGCCGGGATGTCGACAAGTTGGTTGGTATACGCCGGTGCCTTTGCCACGCGCTTGCGCTTGTTTGCGTTCTTGGGCTTGGCTTTGGCCTTAGCCTTGGCCCGCTTCGATGGGACTTCAGCATCGGATACGGCATCGGTTTCGTCGGATTCCTCAACGAGAGGAGCGCCATCAATATGGAACGCCGCGACATCGGCCATCAACCTCTTAGCCTCCTCCTCGTTGGCAACTACTCGTAACGACACTTTGGCGCGGACTTCAGGTGCTGGATGGGACGACGGCAACCATCAGGCCCCGTACCCGCACAGCGTAACACATAATTACTCACGAAAGACGAGGTTCAGAAACTGCACGAACGGTGTGTAAATATTTGCTTCATACAATGGCCACCAGTCTTCGAACTTGACACCGTCTGCAGTTTCGCCATCCGACCACCTAATGAAACGGTCAGTATGCGATGAACAGACGGCGTACGGAAAACGTACACAATGATCGTCAGAGCACCATTGGCTCCTGGGGTGGGGCCACCCAGCATGCGGAACGATACGAAACCCGTCATCTCCTTGACGACAGAAGCCTCCTCTTGGACCAGCGAAGGAAGAATTTGAATCGACCTTGAGGTGCAAAACGTCAGGACCGAAACCGTAAACACATGAACGCATGCTTAACGTACTTGTGAAGTCGGATCACTCTCTCGCGCTCCGTCTCCGTGGCAGGTACGACAAGTTGGTACAAGTCGCTCTCCTGCTTGACCTTCTGTCGGTATTCCTCCACGGCCTTCTTCACCTCCGGTGTCTCGTTCTCCAGCCGCTCGGTTAGCCATTTCGCGAACTGATTGACCGCCGGTCCCGGAATCTGGTCGTGCTTCAGAAGTTCCAGCACATACGGTTTCCAGACCGTCTCTTTGAACTGCTCCTTGAGATTGAGGTCCGAGTACAGGCGTTCGTAGGCATAGCAAGATTTCATGAGGTTGTTTGCCTTCGGGCGAAGCTTCTCGATCAAGTTCTTGAGTCCCTTAGACGCCGCGACGCAGTCGACCGTTGCGCGACACTTGTTATCCAACCAGTAACGTAGTTGCTATCGTGTGCTATAAGCCTCTGCACAACGATCCAGAAAGCAAGACTGACCTTCTGACGTTTCACACGACGACCGCGAAACGTAGGAAGCTTAGACGCAGCTTCGAGGTCCCCTCCAACGGCAAGCAGCTCCTTCGGTGTGAACGGAACAGCGTTCGTACGTTCCTTCCAGTAACGTTCAAAGAGCCTCTGCATAAACGAAGCAAGGCCTGACTCGCTGTTCCTTGCAGACTCTCGAGCTGCCCAGAATCCGGCCTTCCAGGATTCCAAGAAGAGCTCATCCTCTGGAGATGCCCATCGCGAGCCTGACTTGCTAACGGGTTCATCGTCAATAACCACGCCGTTGTGAACGTAATAAACGGGAGAGGCAGCGGCGGCAGGAGAAGAGGTAGTGCCATGAGGAGACACGGTGGTGGGAGCCAAGCTGATATCGGAAGTGCCCGGCGTGGACGACATTAACCTAAAGGAGTCCCGCGCTGGCAAAGCGGCAGACCGTGAGAAACGGCACCTTTTCGCAATGAATGCTCCGGAGTTGTGGCTTGTTTGGCGTATCACGTGGTCTTTGTTGGCATTGAGGAGCGCGCTACGCAGTGTTGGTGCATAACACCTCATTCAACGTGCATTATGTCTCAAGCTAATCTCAGGAGTGGAACACCAGTGAGTAACGCAACCGGACTTTCTACTTGAATCTGACATTATTTGATCAGAACGGTTGTACCGCAGTAATACTGGGTGCCGTTATCGAAGCCGTCCTCCGTGGTGAGTGCCCTACTGGATGGCTCGGCGAATCTGACAATTCCTTGTCGCTTAGTCCATGGAGTTGTCCTGGACTCCGACCACATCCTAGACCCCCATAAGATATGTATATGCCCGTGCCATGCGCCCTCAAACCCACCCAGGGACGCGCACGACACTGTACCATCGAGTCCGCAAGCTGCTTCTGCCCATACCACCAATCCTTCTGGATCCACACGGCGGCGAGGTTATCGGCCTCCCAAACACTCGGATGCGGCGATAGGTGGTGGTCGCAATCCTCGCCGAAACGACTCGTCGGCTCTTCCTGCCCCTCGCACCGCTCTCCCTTGTCGCCACATTTGCCCTGCCTGTGTTCAGCTAGTCATCGATCAACGCAATTACAACGTTGGATTGGCAGCGGTCGAGCTATGGGAGCAACCAGCGGGGCCTGATATCGAGCATGGAACGATCCATGCCTTCGGTTTAGCAGGCGAACATTATCATTGGCCCGCAGAAGGCGCACAGGGTCCCTTCTATGTGGTAACCAATGGTGCAGCTGTGGGGATTTTCACAAATCGGTACGCTATGTCGTCTAATATATGCAACTTTCTCTCACTTCGCCTTCCGTTAGACTTCTAGTGGAGACAATTGCCACCCATTCGTCTGTTCATGAAGATTTTCAAAACGCGTACAAAGCATGGCACGATGCGCTCTCCCGCGACCAGATTTCCGTCATTCGTTGAACGATTCTGACCATCGCCGGCGACCCGTGCTTTCATTGCTAGTAAACTGTCCCCCTGCTTCGCGTGTACTGTCACATAGCAATAACAACGAACTGCCATTGCATCGCCCACGGGAGCCGGCGAGAAACTGAGAGCGTAGATAGGAAAGTCTAACGAACTTAATCATCGTGGCACGACCCGGACCTTCCGCTCCTGCAACGCATGTAAGAAAGCCTTGTGAGCCCGATCGAACGTCCGGTAGGAGCGAATGACATTCGACGGACAACCCAGCACGTGGATCGCCGTTTCAGTCCTAGGACACCGGTTAAGTCGAAGACCCAGTGGAGCCAGCAGATAAGCTTACCAGTCGGCCCAAACGCCCACTTTGTGTCCGACAGTGACGACGTAAAAAGTTCCTGGACCGGCCTGCTCGCTAGGCGGCGGCAGATGATATTCGGTAACTTCAGAAAGCTGAGACTCCGCACGAGCAACGTTGGACGGAGTATGATACATGTTTGGACGATCAAGCTCGCACAAGGGCTGGTCGTCAACAGCCCGGTACGGGGGTGGAGGCGTACGCGCTGAGTGACTAGTGAGAAAGCCAAAAATCGGGGGGGGAGGCGGGGAGGCAGCATGCTCGAGCCTGGGACGTTCCTGGTGAGGCGGGGCAGATACATTCTGACCAGTCATTGACCGCACACCGCCAGCGCGAGGAACGTCTCGCGGACGATCAGGAAATGGACGCGGGTGCACTGCAAAACCTTGGGGAGATTCAGCAGAAGAGGCGATAGCCGGAATGCGCCGAGACCTGATGGGCACGACGGTTTGCTCGCTTTGACTAGGTGTTGACCGTTCGCCACCAGCATGACGAACCTCCCGAGGACGATCGGGAAAGGGACCTGGGCGCAAGACGGTTGACGCGCTTTGACTAGCCGTCGACTGCCCTCCACCAGCGTGACGAACCTCCCAAGGAAAGGAACCTGGACGCAGGTCACGGCCCACAGGACCATCGGCGGGTGGGCCGGAGGCGGGGACGCACTGGGAGCTAGGACGTTGGACGGGTGTGGCGACCGGCATATAACTTTGAGTTAGCGTACTGGAATGGAGGCCTCCGTTGGAGGATGAAGTAGGGACCGGTGTGTGCAGTCTGTAAGGTCGGAAGAGATAGGAATCTAGGGCAGCAGGGGGGGTGACAGGTGTTGTGTGCGGCTGTTCGAAGGGTCTGATACCAAAACGCTCTGCGATCTCCTTGAGGTGGGCCGTCGGATGCTGAGCCACCGCTGGCGAGAGGAGCAGAGGGGGGAGCGGGGCGGAAGGAAGTGCATTGAACTCGGAGAGCGCAGAAGGAGAGGCAAAGTGTATGGACTCGAGTTCAGCATCAGATTCGTCAGAATCCACATTCGAGGGAACTGTGGCGTGCCCTCCAGAACCGTCGAGCGGAATGGCGAGAAGTTCGCGATCGTCAAAATCGGCGTACAAGTCGTTGTCGGATGACGTGTCGCTGACCTCAATGCGGCCGGCACCTAACGGCAGCGAAGGAAAACGGATTGGCTGGTGGCGATCTTCCTGCGTCGTTCGTTGGCTGGAAGTCTGATTGCTAAGTGAGGATTGAGAAATAGCTCCCCCACAGGACGCGCACACGTGGGGGTGATCCCCGGGAGTATCACGGACGTGGGCTCGGGCAACCGGGGTCCTTGTGGGAGACTCAGAACTCCGTCGGGCATCTCGGGGAATATCAAATTGGGGCATGGTACGACCTTCTTGATGAGCGGCGTGAGCGCGAGAATGAGATAAAGGCAGATCGGCGAGTGTTTCGTGACGAGCAAGTGTGTTGGTAGGACGAGAGACGCCGCCATTGGCGCCTCCATGGGCAATGATGCTATGCTCGACGCGGAAGACTTGTGGTTGAAAACTAACTTGAATGCAACCCGCCACACGGGAGGGTACAGATCCTGTGGTGGGAACCCTATCGTCGCGGAGAGAGAGGCCATTCAGATTCAGACATGCGAGCTCGGTATTGGTGGATGGAGATCCCTGAGATATGGTAGGCGGCTCCGGACTGCGGCCAGTCGTTGAAGTGTCATCCAAAGCCGAAGCTTCAGGAGTAAAAGGCGGGTGATCGACTTCAAGCCCATCTTCTTCAGCAACTTCCGCTGCACCGTGCTCAATGTTGCGTTCTGCGAGAATAACGTTCATCAGCGGCAAGCACAAGAGCTTGAAGATCACCTACCTCCGGCGACAAGGAGGAGAGCCGAGCTAAGGCTATTGCCAGCGTTTTCATCTTGACGGAAAGTCAGTTGGCACAGCTCAGACAAAGACAAGAAAACCGACCTTCGCCAAGGAATTCAAGGAGTGTACTGACATCGTGGACAGAATTCTCGTACAACGCAGCGAGGAGCGCCTCTCGGTTGCCTGGTGGAAGATCTTGATACTGATACATACTCAGACAAGTGCGTATGGTGCAAAAATTTAATGCTCACCTTGAGCCTGCCACCAGCCATGCAGCGCTGTGTGAAGGGGAAGGAGAAACGAGCAAAGACGCCTGCCCGGAAAAAGTGGGAAAAAACGCGAGCCCTCTGGTTATAGCGGGACAATATGATTAAGTAATGGGAAGTCAGAGAAGCGGGGCTAGCCGCGTAGGCTTCAAGCCGTAATATTGCTGTGACTTGTGTGAATAGGCCGGGGACATTATCTAATGTACGGTATGGTGGGGTGGAGGTAACATCGCATGATCATCATGTTTGCTGCATCTGTTGTCGAAGCTCAGACGTCAGGTCCTGTAAATTGAGTAATAGGCCTGGCGTTTCTGTCAAATAAGTCGCATGCCCCACTTGCGCTTCTGGCCGGGATCATTCGGAGTGAGCGATGGTCTCTGAGCGGAAGCCATAGGCGTGTCGTCGGGATAACACTGCGATGTGTATCGTCATCGACCGGCGACCTCTGCCATGTTGAACTGCTTATATGAATGCAGGGGGTCGATGGAAGTTCCGCGCAGTTGCTCGGATCAACGAGGAATTAGACATGGTTTTGCGCTTGCTGCGAGTGGGAAAAGTCATCTCATGGCACACGTGAATGTTCGGAAGCGGACGTCAGGCCTGCTCGGTGCGATCATTCCCCTAAAGCAAGATTCCCCATTGAACTTCGCAGTTGTCTGGCCCCTGTTGGTGCGAAACATATCTCAACTGCAGTGCACATGTTCAACGCGATGACATATACGTGCATGTAGATGTGTCAAGGAAACTGAATTGATATTGTTAGCCAGACTCGCGCTGTAATGATGAGTAAGTGAGCGCACCTAAGTCCGATGACGGATTGACGTCGCGGTAAGTTCCCTGAGTGTATGGGGAAGAAAACGACCTGCTTCCAGTGCCGCCACGGTACGAGGGTGATATTCCAGGACGTGCAAATAGTTGAACGCGGGCACTCGGCCTGGATGGTATAATGGCCTGCGTTGCGCTCGTCAATCACAATACGTGGACACAGAGGGGTTAATTTACTTCTCGGTCCTCTAGCTCTGAATGAACGGAATGAATGTCAGGGCTTCACATGTGTTCGAGGTGGTGTTGGGTGTATGCGCGCAGATCGATCCGGGATACTAAGGAGAAGATAGATTTAGTGAGTGTCGGATTCAATGACAAGTGTAGAATGGGTGCACCTAAGATCAATGGCAACCTCGACATCGTGAAAGTGTCCTTTCGCAGACAACAACCTCCTCTTGGTGCCTCGATGTGAGCGATCAGTGTTGATCAAGGCCGTAGTGAGTGTGACTGCGGTCGTTGAGGCGAAACCATGGCTCCGAGCAGCTGTAAGTACTCTCTGAAGGCGATCAAGTTATGTAAGGACTGTCAAGAGGCCCTTAAGGCCATGTATATCGTGAATGTGTCATGGCGATGAAGGAGTGGCGGGGAGACGCTCAGGCGCGGCGCAAGCGATTACCGGGTTACCGGGATTACCGGATCTGCCCTCGGCCAAATTTTCATCATCAGGTCGGCAACACTCGGCATGACACCTTCCATTCATAAAGCCCCCGTCACGGCACACCATATAGACCGGTCTCGACTACGGTACCCACATTTCTTGTCACTCTTCCCTTCTCCCGCTCACATGATTGCCGCAGATCCACATGTCATCACGCTTTTGAACTCCGGTAAAGTCTCTTTCACTATGCACAGTTCGCTCAACTGCAGCTCTACGAGGTAGGAAAACGGCCGACCTTGTAGCCGGGGCGGGGACGCGGCTTGGTAACGCCTCCGACCGTATGTACTTTCTTACCCATGGCTAGTGGTTCGCTGTCGGTTCGCTCTTGAACGCGAATCACCCCGCGATCGAGAGAACCCGAATCGAGGAACATACCGGTGGGTTTAATTCTTGCTCTTCGGCACTGATTCGGCAAAGGGCGAGGGAGCCGTTTGAGCAAGACGCGGAGACTAACTTGAATATCACGTGATCAGTTCACTGCGCCGGATGACCAAACCTCCCTGAATATACCGCAAACAAGCTAGTCGGAGTAACAAATCGATGGATACTCCCCTTCCCCGCGCCCGTGTTAATGTTAGTAGTATTCCTCCTCCCGCGTATCCCGTAGCTATACCGCCCTTGTCCTCCGTTTCCCTTATCGCGTCAATTTTGTCACTTAGTGTAGGCGCGAGTAACGTAGGGATAGAATATGATTGCGCAGATGGCACGACTCAATGCTCGCGGAACGCCTCGATCAAGGAAGGGTGTTCGAATCAGTACAGGAGGTTGATCGAAATTGGCTCTCTACCTGAGCAAATAGCAAGCGCACAGCTTTAAGAATGTGTTCCGTACGATACACAGCACACGAAGATCTATCGCGACACAGGTAACTAAATACGGCGAGACGGAGATGCACCGGATAATCGGGGGAATAATAAGTTCGACACACGTACGAGGTACTATACTAGAGACTCAGTGATGGAAGAAGCGGGAGGCGTGATCGCAAGGGATGAGATGAGATCAGATGCGAAAGACGGGGTGAGGACGAAGAGGATAAGAATGGACGGATGCGAAGAACGGGAAAGGGGCCTCGTTGAGAAAGAGTGCATGTCCTTCACGGCAT